CCGGTGATTGATGCCCGAAAAGAATCATGGTCTATGGCGTCGCTGGGCTGTCGTATTTTTTTCATTTTTATTTCATTTGAAATGAAATGAATTGAAACAAAATGAAATAAAACAAACTAAAACAATGATTGAAAAATAATAAATAGAGAGTATAAAAAAACAAAGTGAAGTAAAAAAGTATAAAACTGAAATAAATACAAATAATTTAAAACAAAAAAAATAAAAAAAAAACAAATAAAATGAAAATAAAATAAAATTCTAAAAAAATTAATTAAATTAACATAGAAAAAAATGAAACTTCAAAAAAATTAAAAAAGTTACACAAAAAGTGCAAAAACCACTATGGCGTCAATGGGCCACCATACACCAGTACCACACATTCGAAAGAAATCAAAGTAAAAGCGATGGCAAAAGGAAGCAAATTAAAAGACGGAAAACTGTCAAAACTACACGGAGACATCAGTACAATAGCAAACAAGATATAAAAGCAAACATATGTATACGGAACCGTTATGAGACTATAAATATGTTACTGCCTGGACTTGAAGACTTGAGGTTGCATTTCCTGTAAAGAATGTGCTTATTGGTTGTCCAAAGAGCGTCCGACTTTTTGGGAAGTCCAAGCGAAGTAAATTTTGGCGGTCGCGAACGATTCAGTTGCTCTGATTTTAGCGTGACCTCTGACCCGTGACTAATTAGCAGAGCACAACTGTTACCACTATATTTGTCGCCTTTAGCACAAGTGAGTCGAAACTACTGGATGACTACTTTCGTCACAAAACTGCATGCAACGAGTTTTGCGTCTCGTAACTGCCTCTCCGATTCCTGCCCAGACGGTCAATACAACACATCTTGAGACAAAAGATACAACGTGAATCGCCCCGTGTCTTTTGCGTCTAGTCAATTCTAATCTTCAATGTACTTATTCTCTTATCATTTCAGTGGACTCTGCATTTTCAGAAAGTCTTAAAAAGGTTTTTAATGTTGGAGAGGTAAGAATGTTATTCTAGTACCTGGTACCACAAAGACTCCTCGCAGCCTTTTTGAGGTGTCGTCTCTTTTTGTGGGGATGGATTAAGAGACGACACCGGAAAAAGGCTGCGAAGAGTCTAGGTACCAAATGGTGTCATCATTATAGGACTCACGAGAGCCATGACGACATAGAGCCTATAAGCAGTCATAATTAATGGACAGCTTTTCCATTCTCTTATGATTATGACTGTGATTACGACGAATGCGATCAACCGCCGAGCCCCTGTACGATAATACTACACCTTTTGCTGTTCATTTGCGCAAAAAATGCATTCATTTACGTCAGGAGTAAAAACATTAACGCCAACAGGCAGGCAATAGCATGATCCAAGTTTCAATAGTGCTAGGAAACATTCAATTAGACTATTTACATATGAAATGACATTCAATACCATCCTCAAACAAACAATTGCACTTTTGAACAATCAAATATAAAGAAAGCACTTTCAATCAAGCGGAATGGAAGTTCATTAGTACCAAAATACAATCAAATGCATCGGTTGACAATCATGCGAGCATTTAAGACATTCAATAGTAAAATTTCCATATATAAGCACAATCAATAGCGCCTTTATACAATCATTCGTTCGCAATGAACAATCAATCTTAACAAACGACAAACATTTGCATAAGAACAACAATCAATTACAGGAAAGCAAATTTCAAATTCACTTTATTATTTTCTTGATATTTATCACTATTCTTCTATATTTTAATCATTTAACATATTGGCATGGTTTACTTTATTCTTTTCTTAATATCTATTGATTGCCTATCCTTCTATATGTTCATTATTTATGCATCTTGGAAAGTATGTCTGCACGAACATACTGCCGATATTTCTTTCAAGCGCTCGTAATAGCAATTGGGTGCGCATGTGTTTCCCATGCAGTGCAATGTGATGCCTTGTCTTTTGCTTCGGCTCTATTGTTCATTTCTTCCTGTATCTGCGGGCGACTTATGTCCGCTTTAATTGCTGCCTTCAAGGCACGTATTGCCTGCTCCACGATATTCAAGAAAGGACTGTATGGTGGCAACTTCTTTAGTTCTGTGTTGGGACCTGGATTCACAGGATTTCTGTGGGCTGGTGCGCCGTCGTAAATGAAAATTACGTGCTCGTCAGGGTCGAGATTTAGCCTGGCTGTGCAAGAAAATCATTGAATCTTTGACCATTCATTCCCCCGAGAACTGCAGAGTGGAACACTAGTCCAGTTGTTGGGGAAATGGCTAGTGCCACGGTCACATTTCTCCCCCGTTGACCACACACTTGTCGGTAAGCTCTGCGTCTCCAGTCCTAGCTCGTCCTTGACTTCTCGCTGTCCAAATATTGTAGCCACATGACTCATCTACAAAAACAGGGTGGTTCACTACTGCATGATGCATAAACCATTGGGCGTAGTCAACTCTCTTCTGAAGTACGTCGGGCCGGTTTCGTTCGGCAGGGAGTGGTCTGGCAAGTTTTACCGATCGACTTATGTAAACATATCTTCTAACAAAAGATGCATAAATAACGGGACATATAGAATGATAGTTGTAAATATCAAGAAAATAATAAAGTGAATTTGAAATTTGTTTTCCTGTAATTGATTGTTGTTGTTACGCAAATGTTTGTCGTCTCTTAAGATTGATTGTTCATTGCGAACGAATGATTGTAGAAAGGCGCTATTGATTGTGCTTATACATGGAAATTTTACTATTGAATGTCTTAAATGCTCGCATGATTGTCAATCGATGCATTTGATTGTATTTTGGTACTAATGAACTTCCATTCCGTTTGATTAAAAGTACTTTCTTTATATTTGATTGTTCAAAGGTGCAATTGTTTGTTTGAGGATGGTATTGAATGTCAYTTCATATGTAAATAGTCTAATTGAATGTTTCCTAGCACTATTGAAACTTGGATCATGCTATTGTCTGCCTGTTGGCGTTAATGTTTTTACTCCTGACGTAAATGAATGCATTTTTTGCGCAAATGAACAGCAAAAGGTGTACTTGTGTGTAATTATGGCAAACACTCATTTCTATTAGCACATACATGTGCACATTGAATATCAAAACGTGGGTTGCTATTTATTGTGCTTACGTTTATGATGCCATGCAATTGAACCGGGTCCATCAGAGACTGCGCAAGCACGCGGGATTTATGTTATTGGATCTCCTGCTCTCCTATAGACTGCGTAGCGGCTCTAGGGGAGGCGGGAAGGGGGAAAACGGAAGGGGAGGTTTTTTTCCCAATCCCGCGACCTCCTTCCCCTAGAGCCGCCAAGCATGGGAAGCTGAGAAGGGTCTGGGTACGAGAATGGCTACAATATAGCTGTCCTACTCTATATGTCTCTTGATAGTCGTCATAGAACATGCGCATTAGATGGTTTTGATCACTGTGGTGTCAACGGTTATCATTCTCGTTCAATCCCAATGATCGCAGTATTTAAATAATGCTATGTTATATCAATCAAGATTTAACTAATCATTTCATCAACAATCCTTCAGAAAGCAAAGGCTCTGGTTGATCCTTACTTTATGATGACTTTTGCTGGAAAACAGGTACGTTATGTTTATAATGACAGCGAGTGCAAACACTGAAATCGTGAAATAGCACTAAGTACTTAGCGCAGTATAGTTTGGATTAGACAATAGCAAACAAAGGATTTTGTATAATTCAGTAACACTATATTCGACCTTTTTTTGTAAACGAATCTTTTTTTATATTGATCGTACGCAGAGCAAGTCAAAGTACATAAATAACGATGACAATCCTGAGATCAATCAAGAGCTTTCAGTAAAGTTTCAGGTGAGAAATTTTCAAAATAGCTTAAAATGTGTATTCTCAAAGTCGACGAAATGACAATAATATTAAAGTTTATTGTTGATCTTTCTAGATGCCTTCGATGTGCGAGAAGATAAAACTGCAGATTTGGGACTGGTAAGCTAACCTTTGTTTGCCGGTTTTACCCGTCTCGTGCTTCTTGCCAAGACGAATGATAAAGGCTTTATCCTGCACTTTTAAAATTCCAATCTTTTTTTCCTAATAGTCAATTAATAGAATTAATAGAATTCTAATCAATGTTGTATCTACCATTATAAGGGATAAGATAGGTTCAGATGACTTGGTAGGAACATCGTACATACCTCTAAATGCCATATCAGGACAAGGAGACAAAGAATTAGGTAAAGTACCTCGGCAAAAACGATAAACCATTTCCAGGATGCCGTTAAAACTCTCTCTGTATATATACTACAAACTGGATGGACGGTATAAGGGTTGGGATGTTTTCCTGATCCGTTGCTAATTTCCTGATCCTAACTGAATTACGCCACACATGCGCAACCGTGTTTTGTCATGCGTTCTTAACGGACTGGCCCGGTACACGCAAAGAAAACCTCTTTTCAATTACTCCTGTTCCCGCAGAGGAATGAATCTCTAAATTATGTCCAGTAGTATAAGGGAAACATGGAAAATTACTGAGAAATGATTTAATTCTAAATATAGACAGGTTTAGACAGCCAGTTTGGTTGGGTTGGTGACAAGTATCTTTTCTTTTAGGATATTTACCGCTATTTGGTCCTTGTTTTGTGAATTTCTATGGCTCCACACGCGAGTACTCGACTCTGCCTGATGAATGCGAGATTCTTAACGAAGGAATCGTAAGTTGCCATACATGCTTTAAATTGAACTTCGAATTTGAAACTGAGCTTCTTCGTCAAAATATGTTCTCTTAATGTGAAATTGCCCATTTCTTTTCTTTAGTCATTTATCGGCAAACCTCAGTCGAAATGTTGTACTGTTCACTGCGATCTCTGTTGATCAAGTTCCACTAATAATTACTTATCATGCAGTCAGATTTTTTAAATTGTTGAAAACGCTAGACCGTTGTGTGTCTTGGGAAACTTCAACATTACATTGCGCGCAGTGCTTGGACTAGGTCATGCTTCTGCTTAATGCGACTTTTCAGGGTGAGGGCGTAGCCTATCGTGGTAGAGCCCTCGTTGAACTCGAGACTAAAGTCACCGGTGAAATGGAAACTGGGGTAGAGGAAATAGAAGACGACGATGTTGTTCTGATACAGGTAAATGATAACGATAAATAAAGTAGTTTATTTTGGCAAACGGACAGTGTGACGTTAGAGTCTGAAGATGAATATCCACTGACATGACAAACACGTCAAACGGGCCAAAGTCGAGCAATTCAAGCGCCGAACTATGGTCGCGCTGAGCTCAAACATTATAGCCAACCATGGCAAATCATAATTTTATTGCCTGCTTACTTGTAAAATAATCTGTTTAGGATTTGGCTTATGAAGGGCAAGCGTCATTGATAATGTTTTCTAGGATCAAAATTTCTTCACTTGTACAAATATAAAATTCAATCTAAAAACACTTGACGGCGCGGCGACGGCGGCTCTTCACAACTCGGCATCTCAATAAGCGCGCGGGGAATTGCGGGAAAATCTAAAATAGCACCAAGAGGGGTAAATGCCGTTCCACAAGCCCATGGGAAGAGGAAGGCTCCTAGTAATGGGCTTTAAGTTTTGATAAAAAGTTGGGTAGAGAGTTGAGTTAGGTCGGGATAAGAGTTCACTATAGGTTGATCGTAGGTTAAACGCGGTTTTGCTCTTACAGAGCTGTCTTCGTCGACGAAAGTTCAAGCTGTTTGGCTGTTTTCTTGAGGCAACGATGATAGCTTGTAAGGATATCCCGATACAGTTCGAAATTTCTATTGGTATGTAATCAAAGGTTATTAAGAATGTTCAATCGTGCAATTATTATAGGTCTCATCGTCAAAATCTACAAGAGCGAAAAGGGGCGTAGATGGAAGATAGATGATTATCAATCCAATGTGTGTGGACAGATTTTAAGCTTCCAAATACTTTCTGCACTAAATAATCATTAAGAAATACTAATAATGTACATTTTTTAGTCCAATATGATTCAAATTCCGGAATACCCAAAAAACCCTTTGGTCTTTTATACAGGAAACATTTCTTCAATAAACGGGCAAGTATATTACACACCCTAAAACCTAACCCTAAGTCTTTCCTGCACATTTTTAAGGTAATTATGGTAACCGTCTGGACTCATCAGTTGCGCCATCGTCATCATCTACACCTTCCTCCAACGCAGTGTTTGATGGGTCGTATTATTACTACCTCCCTTGGGGTAGCAAGAAGCCGTGCTGCTCAGTAGACTCACATTGGGAGGATATGCTATTTCGACTTTACTCCATGAACATTTTATTGGATTTATGCGAACGAGTTGTAAGTAATTCGACGTGTTTCTAAACTTGTCGTCAAAGATTTTTACCATTCGTGCGGGTTCCCTGTGCTTTTTTAGTCTCGGGCGCCTTCCTTTGTCAAATTTATTCCATATATGGAAATAAACAATATGGCCAATTGTTGTAAAGTCTTTTCGCTATAACATCTGCAAGTTTCATAAAAGAATTGTCAAAATAGAGTCTACTCGTACTTCCAAATTCGGTAAGATTATCATATATCTGTTTTAAAAACGAAGAGCAACGTTTTTAAGGCAATTCATTGATCGATGTATTAAAGCTTATTACAGAATTCTCTTTTCGCATTGTTTTTTGAGCGTTTTTGGCGAATTGAACAGAGAAAACGCACTGCGAGATTATCTATAAGGTGTTTCCATTATTTTTAGAATCTTCCATAATGTTTTTACTCTAATAATTCTATAAAACATGCTTAGCTTATATTGCTTTCTTGGGTAGACCTTCACTTCTACAAAGTAAATGAGATTGCAAATCAATCAAGCTCTTAGAAATTATGCTTAATCAAACATGCATGTATTCTTCTGTTCAGTGACAAATTAAATTTTGCTTTTTAGGAAGGAAAAATCGAGAGAATAAAGATTGGCATGAAAGAAAATCTTTCCAAACCAGAGATCGCATCACTAATAATGGGACTTCTAGAAGAACTGATCGCGGCGTGCAGGTACTTTTGACAGTGACTTAATAACGAAAAATGAATTATTTTGGTCTTTTTGAAATGTTGTGCCAACCGTTTATTTCAGCAATATAAGAACAGGCCTGCCTGAGATCAAGAAAGGACCTGGCATAACTCAACTGGACTTCAAGAAACGAGAAGTTAGGATATCAGAATTGGTAAGCTTGAGATCTTCCATTTTCAAGGCTATTATAACGAAATCTCGTGCCCTCTTTTGTGTTTGGTCAGGTCTTTGCGAAAAAGAGTTTGTTAACAAATATAACAGCAGTTTTTCGCTATGAATTAGATACTGGAGTTTTGAGGGATTAAGAGACTGTATGAGAAATAGAACTTAACGTTTGAAGTCCATTGAAATGGTATATTTTTGTTTTTATTGCAGACTTCGATCGAAAAAGAAGCTTCTCACCTGCGAGAGTCCGCTACTGATATCGATGAGGCAATACATGACATCGAACATTTTCTACAGAAACTACGGGCTTTAGCTGTAGAGGTTGGTACTTAGTATTGACAAAATAGTCCTCATCAAAAATCAACAAGTACAATGGATGGATAAAGTTGCTATCTAAGGATTTACTCATCCTTTGTACGGCTGCCCCCCTCGTTCATTTGCTGCGAGGCCTTGCATCTAATCAACAACAAATTTGTTGTTGTTGTTGTCTAATCAATCTGAACGCTTGAACTAGCGTTGGCGGACAGATATTCAGTTTTGGATGCAGTAGGAAGGTGGCTAAACAGGAACGAAAGACACCACGCAAGGCATTGACGAACATTGTCGAAGAAACACTTTTCACTTCCTGTGTGACCTGTCTGTACCCAATCTTGTACCCAGAGCCCACACTTTTGACTATGACATTAGCCGTTAAGATTGATCGGTGGCGCCATATTGTTTATAAGTCCACGTTGTAGTCCTATTAAAAAAAAAAACATGGGACATCGTCACTGTCATGTTCCTCGACAGCAAATGTATGAGCACCGTACAGTGTTGTTATTTTATATTTACTATTATCATGAATTGTATTAGTTAATAAAGATTCAGTCTTTGATAATTGCTACGATATTTTGCAGCCCCAAAATAATATTCCTGACGTCATCATTTGGATGTTAAGCGGAACAAAAAGAATTGCCTACCACAGGATTCCCGCAAATGAAATTCTTTATTCGCACGAAGTGAAAAAGCGCGGTAAAAACTGTGGAAGAATGCAGAACGTATTTATGAAGGTTAGACTGCAACTTAAAATATTATCACTTAACTAACAAGTCTACCTCTTTCAAATTCACTTTTAATTCGGCAATTACTGCTATTTGTTACACACACAAAAATTTAATTAAAAAAAGCATTAAAGAAATACTAAAAATGTATGGAAAATGTTTTGTAAAAACACAGTAAATTTCATACCCATTCGCATAGCATAAACGAAATAAATGTAATCGATAACCAAACGTGAAACGCGAAAGATTCCGAGCATGTGCGCGCACGTGAAAACGAAACATCTAAACGTCGAAGAAACAAAGAACCAACCCATAATAAATAAATAAATAAAAAACTATCTAGTATATTTCGTTTTTGTTGCAGTATCCTGGTGAAAAACAGTTTGATTTTGAAGATCATCCCGAGGTTCCATGTCAGATTTCTGTTATTATGTGGCTGGGTCTTGAGAATGACCAGGAAGCCTGGGTTCATAGATCTGATATGGAAGGGAAATTTGAAGTGTTTGCCGAAACTGTAAGTACCCTTTTCGGTTATGTAATAGACTGATTTTCAGCCCGCATAATTCTCCTAGTAGAGTGAAGCGTTGGCACAAGGTCCTGGCTTAAAATCAGGCTACCCTAACACCTACTCTATTGTCAGTAGTTGTAAACTATTGTTTGAACTTCCGTTCTCACCGGCAATATCATATATGACAATGATATTTTATTAAGATGATATTGTATATGCATTCTAGGATAAATCATTAGTGAGAAAATATAAATTACGGATCGTCAAAGACAGGAAACTGTTATCCTGGACATTGATCCTTTGTCAGCAAAAGTTTACAAAGAAAAAAACTAGCACGAATTTTCTCTTCTTTATTTCACTGAAATTCTAGTCTAAGTATCGTGATTTTTAAATAGACTCAGTAATAGCATACCCTGCTATGAATAAATAGGCTTTACTCATACTTCTCCTTCATGGTTCCCTGCTCTTAGGGGCACAGAATTGAGAGGACCATTGAGTGTGCAAAGATAGATGCCTGAGAATATTTGTCTGTAGGTCTGAAAGACGGTTTCTATCATTGCACGCTCAACGACCTTCTCGCTTCGATGCAAAGTTACCTTCAACTTTTAGATAGCGCACGGAACCGCGAAAGAGATTGTTGCATTTTTAACATTAAATTCAGTACTATAGTTCTTTGTGATTGTAGTATGAAAATCAAATGAAATTCCTTGGTAAATGGACAACGAAAGGACTGATGAGACCCAGCTGGTCTGACGCTGAGGGAACGGTAAGAGAAGTGTAGCATATATTTTGAAGATAACACAGCTGTCGTTTAACGAATCTTGGGACTTTATCGTTTTATTTTACAGGTCAAACTTCTGAAAGAAAATTTTGTTGCTCCTCGCGGTTGGCGGTGGGAAGGCGACTGGGTGGTGAGTCCTGAAACAAGGTAGGTTTGAAATAATGAAAATGTATTTGATTAAAAGATCAGTCTCCTTCCTCCTCGCCCATCTTGAATAACTAATTATTTGTTCAACAGCACCGCATACGACTCCGATACAGGACATAAGACTTTCCTAGATGATGTTTATGAATGTGAATCTCGTTTGCCTGGTGATAATTGGAGCGCCGCTAAAGAGGTCTGGACAGATATAGTAAGTATAGAGAACTTTCTCATTTTTTATGCATTATAAATACTACGGGATGATTAGCAATGGTCATAATATGATCCCGGGGGGGACTCCCTTATAAAAGTTGGCAGGTATGCTCGACGGACGGATTGAAAAATGACCCTAAAAGTTACGCATAAATTAATTCAGGTATCAATTCCAGACCCTAAAAGGTACGACCATTTTTGACGTCTTTAACAAGAGAAAAGCTCAAGTTTAACAAACTGAAGAAAATCAATGTCGATAGATATTTGAGGTTAATAAAATCTATAACTTTATAACATTTCTTCTTTTTTTCCCCGTTGTTCGAAAATTGACCCTAAAAGGTACGGAGTCAGCTCAGGACCCTAAAAGGTACGGGAGGATTTTATTTTCGACCCTAAAAGGTCCGTCGAGCATACCTACCAACTTTTATAAGGGAGTCCCCCGGAATATAATAGCGATGAGGCTAGCATAGAGCAAATTTTAATATCGAGAATGGGAATCCAACCCATAACCACAGGTTTTCTTGTCAGTTGCTGTAGTTTCTGAGTCGCTCATCCTGGCATCTCCCGACCAGAAAATTAGAATGTTAGAAACCTAAGTGGAAGATTAAGCGAACAAGCAATCATAACACCATCTCCGTGCTTTCTCCGACGTGGAAAAGAACAACGTGACGTCCGCCATTTTGAATATGACACAGCTCACACTAGTTTACCGCTAGTTCTCACCATTTTGACACAAATTGTTTTTAAATCCAATTTCTCTTATGACAAGCAAAGAAAATTTGTATTAATTTTACTCTTGTGACTCGGTTTCGACGCACACCACCCTGCTTCCCTGTGCCGGTGTAGTTCAGTACAATATATTCGCTCTCCTTCCTCTGTTGATGCTACAAAATAAATAACTGATACGTGTTTCATTGTTTCTTCTAGTATGGTAATAAATGTGAACCACCTAGTAAGCTTGAATGTCCTGAAGGATGGAAGTGGACGATGGAGTGGACTGTGGATTTGAATCGTGCCGTAGACGAAAATGGTACGTCATTACGAATGTACACATCCAGTGTTATTTCAAGGAGTTGATATATATAAGTTACCATTCCAGATAACTCCTTTTCTGGAGTAGATTCACTCTATTAATATTTTAACTACAACTGAGGTATTATTTTTGACTCCTCTTCTAAGAGCAATTCCTATACACCTTTACCATAATGGCCGCCATCTAATTAACATAAATTTTTACAATTTAGAATTTTAGTCAAAGTAAACTAACAGCTGATGGGAACCTGTGCTAATGACAACATATAAAACTTTGAAATGAAAATATTAAATTCTGGTGAAGTTATAAAGATTTAAAATATATCATAACACCAGAACGAGGCTATAAAGGCCTTGGCTGAAAATTACATACATTTCTTGTATTTTCATTTGGCCATAACTTTGTTCGCATTTTATCCAGGGCTGTAAAACTTTCCAAAAATGTTTATTTTTGGTAGTTCATTCACGTGGCAGTGACAAAGTTTTCACATATTTCATATTTAGAAACAAATAGATAGACAGCCATTGTTGGAAAAATACATACATTTCTTTGTATTTTCATTTCACCATAACTTTTTTCCTATTTTGTCCAGAGATCTAAAACGTTCCAAAAACGTTTATTTCTGATAGTTCTTTGATGTTACAGTGACAAAATATCCATATCTATTTTATTTTGGAAAAACACAATTGCAGCCATTATGGTAAAGGTCTATGAGCCACTCTTGGAGTAATGTTAACTCTTTTTGCCGAGTTGTTTAAACTTCAGGAGTAAAAACTACTCGCATTGTATAGTCAACAGATAGAGTAATTTTAACTCCAGTGTAGAGTTATTTCAACTCTTAAAAAATAACATACGCATACAACGGATGTTATATTAGAAAAGTCTTGTAACTGAGGAGGTTTTGCAATAAAACGAAACTAGTTTTACAGACAATACAAGCTGATCGTGCGTCAAGACCGAAAAGTCAAGCCTTAACATACTTGAGGAAATCAAGATGAAATTAAAAAAATAACAGTGTTGAGCATTACTGAACACGATGTAATAATAGGACAGAGTTTTAGTCATATTATTTCATGATAATAGGTTGGGAATACAGCGTGGATCACACTAGCGGCTCGTATATAGCAGTCGAGAAGATGTATCATTTATACAGAAGACGAAGAATTGTCAGAAGTAGAACATTGAAGATAACATCACAACAATCCACTGAAACTGAGGTGAGGAGATGCTGTTAAAAAAATAAATGAATATATATTTTTAATTTGTCAATCGCTGTAACCAGACAACAAGTGTCCTACTAGTTAGGGAGACTCAGACCCACACACTCTACCTCAACATTGACTGTTTTAGCATACGACACTCCTGACACTCCTAGTTTTTGACTGAGGGAGGAAAACCAGCGTACCTGGAAAAAACCCTCAGATCAAGGAAGAGAACCAGCCTACAAACTCAAATCACATATAGTCCCGGACCGGGAAACGAACCAGGACCACAGGGGTGATAGATCGGCGTTTTAAAGAATCATGATCACCCGTCGTACCTTGCGCGCTCGTATTATTGTTTACATACGTTTAAATGCGTCAAGCATACAATAAATTATAGATTGATAGTACCTGTGAGGTACTTAGTTAAAAGTATTTCTGTCCAAACTGAAAGGACGAAAGACGATTTGCGCTCACTTTAAGAAATCCTACAAATCCGCCATTTTCGTGTCCACCTAAAATGGCGCTTCGGTTCGCAAGGTACGGCGGGTGGTTATGATTCTTTAAACGCTCAGTCATCCTTGATCCCCTGTTGACGGGGTACGGCGGACGATAGCTACTGAGAACTATGCTATATTATATCTGTCTTTAATTAAAAATCATACATACATCGTGTTTTTTACTTTGTATTTCAATTCATTTTCAGGAAATTGCCGATATGTTAGAAGAAGGAGGATGGGAGTATGCCATAACTTTTACGTCACAGTTTCACAGTAAAGAACGTACCGCTGACATGGTAAGGCGACGGCGATGGCACAGACTAATCTTACAGGATGATCCAAGAGCACCAGCGATATTCCGTCGATCTGGAATCCCAGCAAGTGAGGTAATTGAGTATGGATAGGTCAAAGCTCCTGTACTGCGGTTTAATCCGTTGGCCCATTTTTGCGAATAAATCAAATTCTGGCAGTCAACTGAAATTCATATTTTCTGGCCCACACAAGAATCTTCCTTCAAAACCGAACGAAATTCCACATTTTGTTGAGCTCGCTAATTATTGAGGGTGAAGTCTCGAAGACAATCTGTGAAATTTCGTCATGGCGAACAAAAAATTAAATCGTCTACTTACAACTTGAAGACAAGTCTTAAAGGAAGACGGCCTTTCTATTTGTTCGGAGCTTTGGTTTGCGCAAAACCATTTACACATTAGAGTACCGTATGATATGAAGTACTTTGCGAACTAGCAAAAGCTATTGTATACCTACACGACAGCGTTCATGATTATGTAAGCCTGGAAGTGGCAGTTATCCGCCGAGGAAAACTTTTTACCACCTCCAGAAATATTCACATCACACTCGGCATGAAATAAAGAGGTTGAAACTAGCGGTAAACTAGTGTGAGCTGCTTCGGTGTTTCTAAAGAAACATTTGTATAAAATGATACATTTTACCACCGTAAAAAAGTTTGTGAAACAACGTACTGACGTTGCGGACGTTAATCCTTCGTCTGAGGATTGATTTGATTTTTATACAAATGAAATAAAGATTGCTTGTGTTTATTTCGTAATGGTTCAAGGGATCAATATATTTTCAGGATCAAAAGAAAAAGAAAGAAAAAGAAAAAGCGGACAGCGCCGATGTACCAAGAATGATAATGACATATGAAGCAGGTAAGCTTCACTTTGCTTATCAATCAGTCGAGATACATGCATGAATAACACCGTTATGTCCTCTAGAACCTCACAAGTATCAACTCCGAGTGTATCTTTTCCAAGGAAGAGATCTTCTACCGGCCGACGCCGATGGACTTTCTGGTAATTATGACCACCACATACAACCTCATTAATAAGGGCACTGTGTCCGAATTGTCGAGTTGCGAGAGTCTCTCACAAATGCCACAGATGCGCACATGACAACGAGGTATTGTCGGGAAGAAAAAATAGAGTTTTAGACCTCTGCCCACAAGCCTGCGATATTTGCGAAAGTGAACGCAAAACTCTGGGATAGACTATTAATAGTGGTGCAGCAATATGCTTCAGGCACGAATTGCACCAGTTCTAGTTGTATTTCAAGAAACCCTCACACTCCACCACGATTCCATTCTGTGTATGTTTAGCTTTAGTCCCCTCTCTCCACGGGTCGACCACTACCGTCAGAACGAAGCTTGTGATTTGTCGAGACAATAAAAACAAAAATTGTAGGATTATATCAGACAATGCCTAATGTTCTACTGGACATCTTCGTTTTTTGTATTGCCTGTCTCTCTTTGTTACATGTTGTTATTTCATCAAATCACAATTTTTGTTTTAACAGTAGTGCACAACTCATTTCCACAGAGTGAGGCATAAATGCCTTTTCTGACCAATTTCAGATCCATACGCACGCGTTATATTTCAAAACCAGAGTCAAGTGACACGATGTATTCATAGAACGCTTTGTCCCACATGGGACCAGACTTTGGTATTCGATAATGTGAACATCTATGGAAGCACAGAACTTATAGAAAAGAATCCACCCCAAGTTGTGATTGAACTGTTTGATAAAGATGAAGTGGTATGTAATACACTAGGAATGGTTTTACTGGGGGTGAATATCAATCTTTCCGAGATAAAATCTATATGAAATCTATAGAGTTGATGTTATACACCCTTCGCATAACCAGCTATCTTCCCCTTTACCTTAATAAACAATGTAAGCTCGGAATGCTTACTGCCATCGTGAAAGGAAGTTACACCTTTTGCAGCTTAAAAGTGCAGACAGTGAGTTTGCGGGAAAGTGCGATACTTTAAATACATACCTGCCAGGGATAATCATGCACAGGTATTTATTATTGAACGCACGAAGTTCATGCTTCATCGATAGAAAGGCTAAATGGGCGGGCATAATGTGCTGACCTGAATTAAAAATATAATGTCCAAATACGAATTTCCTTTGTTGAATAAATATTATGCTCACAGTTTCTCGGTATTGTTGTACCACAAACGGTAAATGCGATTCTTTCTTGAATAGGGTAAAGACGAATTCATGGGACGCTGTATCGCTAATCCGATCGTTAAGCTAAAAGGTGCTGGACCTCCAGCTCCTCGTCTTTTGTGGGTTCAAGTGTTTAAGGGTAAAAGCGAAGCAGGTGAAATACTGGCTGCTTTTGAACTTTTCTTGGTGAGTTATAAAGAACTTGTTTAACTGTGATAAGAAGGAGACTGATATTTAAGTTCAGTGATATGTTTGAACGGACTGGGAAATTAAAAATCGAATCGAACAGCAGCTTCATCGAATGCCTATACACTACACATCCTGACTTCCTGGTGGTGTGGTCAGGAAACCTTTATTTCTCGTCTTAGTCAGGAGGAGCCGACGGGGTCTGTTCTTCTAATTACAACGTTTATATGGTCAAAAAAGGCTTATATTTTTTTAGTTAGGGAAGTTTTATTTTCCTGGCAAAAATTCTTAGAAAGTATTCCTTGCCTGGAGAGTTATTTTTTCCAGAATTTCTCGCCGGCAACCAGTTGTGAGTTACAGCTCGCTGGGACATAAGAACAGATATATTTCTCCCAGGAACCCGTCGGCTCCTCCTACTTAGTATCCACAGTTATTGTCTAACGCTGTTGCGTGTGTTCGACCGAAAGGTAGAAGCTAATCGACTAAACGATTTTTTATGATAATTGCAATGTCGATTGATTTACTTTAGAACGAAGGAACAGATCTTCCATTTATGCCACCAATGAATGAGTCGTACTTTATCGTGCCTAGTGGAATACGACCAGTACAGCAAAGAACAGCCATTGAGGTAATACATACCTTATTAGTTATTCTGCTTTATCATATAATTATCTATGAAATATCTATATTTCTCCATTTCGTAAAGTTGATATCTTTTCAACACTCGAAGATAAAATCCGTATCTTCGCGCGCCCATGTAATATCCTCTTTATGACCTATCTCAAAAATATATACATTTTACAACCTAACATTACTATGTTTTCATGTTGGACAAACTGAAAACTTTGTCTAATTGTTTAGTTTGGTGGACACAAATGACGGTCTTATGACCGTGCATTTATTCTATTTGCTTGCATTTGCATTGTTTTTATTTACATGCATGATCTAAAGGCTCAATTCTTTTAAAAAGCACCGATTATAGAACTCAGTAATCACTTTAGCTGCGCGCTCTATATTTCATTCCTATTACACGTATTAAAAATGCATATATTTGTTGAACGTTTTATAGGTTCTTTGTTGGGGCGTAAGGAACATGAAGAAATATCAGCTAGCCAACGTTACTTCTCCCAGTGTGGAGTTCGAGTGTGGTGGTCACGTGATTCAATCGGAAGTCATAAAGAACACACAAAAGACTCCAAACTTTGAGAACCCTTTGTTCTTCTTTGATGTGGTGTGTGAACCATCTTTATTACACTTATATATGTCTCGTATCAATCAATCAATCAATCAATCAATCAATCAATCAATCAATCAATCTATCAATCTATCAATCTATCAATCTATCAATCTATCAATCTATCAATCTATCAATCTATCAATCTATCAATCTATCAATCTATCAATCTATCAATCTATCATACATTGTCAATCAATCCATTAATCAAGTAATCAACATATTAATTCATGAATCAGTTTTGCAAAAAGATAAATTTTAACTTAAAAATACCTTGGCAGCTCATACTAGTTTACGCTTGTTTCCACCAATTCATGAATGAATAGATCGGTTCAGTGTTTTAATCTATCATCGTTTCTAGATGCTGCCTAAAGAAGAGCTTTACATTCCACCAATGAATATCAAAGTGCGTGATAACAGATCGTTTGGTCGTTGTCCAGTAGTAGGAGTACACTGTCTTAAATCACTGCAACCCTATCGGTATGACACTCCTAAAGACGACACCATTGAAGGCGAAGGTAAGCATCAGATTAACGAATCGCTCCGTTGTAAAACAAGAAACATCATTTAATTGAAGTGAATATCAACAGCAAGTTTTTTGTTTGATTGTTTGATTTTGATTGTTGCCAGTATATTTTGCCGCTCCACTTATACTCTCCCCTCCTCCACCCAGTACCTGCCCTATTTGCTCTATTGCTAGTATACCGCACCAAAAGGACGAAGTATGAGGGTGAAAACATGATTATCTCATCGAATCATAATTTTGTACAAATTTTCGTCTTTATTTTATGTTGTTTAGACACTATAGATGCTTCAAGCCGAGAGAGCTCGTACGACCTAAGCATTAAGGAAGAAAAGAAAAAGGTTTTACTTTTTTATCTCTTACTTATCTTATGTGTTCGATTCACTCATTTTAGGCTTAATTTCTAATCTCGTTCACTTTTCCGCTTCTAATTCATCCATATTTTTATATTTTTTTATTCATTCATTCGATCATCTATCCTATTGTTCATTTGTTCATATTTCTGTTTGTTGCTTTTAACTAGAGTAAGCAATTAACGTTTGATTGGTGGTCGAAATACTACGCGTCTATTGGTGCACATGACAAGGCAGAAGGTTATGTAGAAGATGGAAATGATATTCTAATCGTAAGTTTTGTTTAACTTGTTTGTTTGTTTTTGTCAGGTATTGTTTTCTTTTCTAAGGTCGTTTCGATTCACTGTCATTAATATTCAAGTCAAATCGATTTCAACTTTTGTTCGAATCCAAGTCGATCCGATCGAATGTCGTCACGATTCAGGTCTGTTCGATCGAACGTTGGTGCGATCCAAGTCAATTCGATCCCAATTTTAAAATCTATTTCAATGTCCTTAAGATCCACGTCGATCCGATTAAATGTCGTTACAATATAATTCGATTCGATCCAATCATATGTATCAATATGATGGCACAACACAACGATCGATCGTACCATATACGTCAAACATTTGTTTGTCGGACTTTGGGACGAGATGTAAAATAAGTGCCCACTTAATTAAAAATATTTTTTTTACATACCAACAAAATGCAAATATATGTGGATAAAATAATTGCACTTGATTACAAGCAAATATGTCGAGAACATCACGATAAATGCATACAGACCTAGCGTAGTTGACATCAAGCACGTTTAAAGCGTAATATCGCGACTTGTTTCTCCGTTAATTAATGCGCTTAAGCATTCACAAGTATTGCACACATTTACTTTTTTTTAATTAATCTTCTGTACATGTTGTCTTTCATTACACAAATGTTCATTTATGTCTGCGTGTCCATTTTCATCTTAAGTCTCCTTCCGCATTACGCAGTCGTAGCGTCTATGACGTCATCTTGAGTAAATATGGCGATCTTGTGACGTCATTCGCATAATAATATTTGCATTACAACTATACCGTCGATCACCGCTCGGCTCTGTAAAAATTTCTCGTATCGCGATTAGTAAAAATAGTTTTTTTTAAGATTCAATGATAAGTGTATTGTGCAATGTATAGCATTAAACTTTGTCGTTGATATGATATATCCGACTTGCTTTATATAAATGCGTACGTTTGTACGTTTGTACGTTTATAGTGGTTGTTGAATCATGATTTTTAATTGTAATTCTTCTCCCTAATTATTACACAGTCAGTGAGCAATACCCGACATTCTTATATCAAATAACTTTATATCCCATTGCGAGTTTCAGCTGATTTAACTGCTTTTCTCTGAACGCCGCTGTGTTTGGTTTACGATGTTACGTATTGTTATCTGCTACGTAATTAAAGCTTCTCACGTTATCCAATATCTTTCCCAAAAATTAAAAGTCTTGATTAATTAACTAAACAGGTGTGAATGGAGGTATTACCTTCATTAACAAAAGGACAACTGAACGTAATTGATTACGAAAAAAATTGTACACTGGTCCGATTTAGTTCCTTGCGAGACACCCAACCAGTGTTCTCACTATAAATTCCTTATTTTAATAAAGAATTTATTAAAAAGCCTTATATATTGAAAACATAAAGTTTGCTTCATAAATTTGTCGCTATGAATAGAAACATTACATAGAGTCAATGAAGAAAAGTTTAGGTCCTATTTTAGTTCCTTGTGGGATACCCCATAAGCTATATGCCAATATAAAATGTTAAGTTGAAATGTGGTGCGTAAAGGTCTGCAAGGTGTGTTTATCTAACTTCGCTTTGTTGATTTAGTCTGTGGAAGAGTTTTTTCAGCTTATCTACATAAAATTAAACCTCTCGCCTTACAATAAATCATCATTTTGATAATATTAATATTTTACATACTTTCGTGTGTACAATCTGAGCTTATGAAAAAAGCTGATCGATCGAATTCTCAAACTATGAAAACCGATGGTGGTTAGTAGAATAGAGCTTTACATTAAAAACTCAAGAATTTTGATTTAGATTGTAAACAAATCTCGTTCTGATAAAGCAAAGCTAAAGTCAAGATATAGGACCTAGTAACACACCCTGAGTTTTAGTTTTCAAGCATTATACAAAATAAAAATGATGAGATTTTATCAATGTTGAATCAATCTAAAAAGTTTAATCTAGTCGCGTTCCTTTTAGGGTATTCAATCATTACGTATGTTAATTTATGCGTACTTTTTAAGGCGCCATTTTTAAAAGGGTTCGTAAAGAACTCCCACTAGTTTTTCATGGAAGAAGCCGCTCCCTCCCCCTCCATGCAACCCCACAAAACACATACATTGGTTATTTAAAGATGGGTATAAGCCATAGAGAGATATAGAAGTTTTTACTTTTAATTAAAGAAAACAGAAAATTTGTGCTTAAAAAATGATATTTCTAGATAAAAATTTTGTTTTCCTAAAGATACAAAAAAAATACAAAAATACCGAAATTATCTCATGACAATCGCAACATTTTGAAATTGGGTTATTGTATTGTTGTTAGGATTCCATTTCATAACTCAACTTCCATGGCTCTTACCAAGTTTAATTGAAAAAGCTATTAGATAAGTTTTCCAGCTAAGGATGTTATATCCAGAAATCCATAAACGAGATATCCTCTTTATATATTGATTCTTAAGCTTAGCGTCTAAAGAATAAATAAGCAGTATATAAAAGCTGTCAAATAACATTACCAAAATAATGTTATGGGCTTTTTAATGTTAAAAGTTATAAATGATGATTTAAATAGAAAGTAAAAAAACATTTCAGGAAATTTGCAGGATCTTGCTGGAACATTTAAAGAGTTTTTACGCAATGAAGAAAAACAACATCAAAATTTCATTATGTATTTTAAAATGAATTCAAACTGATTCTGTGTCTTTCAATTTATTGTGTTTTTATAAGGTTCGTGATGCTTTTCAAATCGATTCTATTTTCTATGTGCTAATGACTTTTCTTATTGAATTTGAATGATGCCAGAAATATGAAGGGTGGACAGGTTCAAAAATATAATGATTATCGGTTGTTCACTTCATCGGGCTATGTTGTCACTTCATCGGGCTATGTTGTCTCTTCATCGGGTTATGTTGTCTATGCATCGGGCTATGTTGTCTCTTCAACGGGTTATGTTGTCTATGCATCGGGCTATGTTGTCTATGCATCGGGCTATGTTGTCTAGTCATCGGGTTATGTTGTCTATGCATCGGGCTATGTTGTCTAGTCATCGGGTTATGTTGTCTATGCATCGGGCTATGTTGTCTAGTCATCGGGTTATGTTGTCTATGCATCGGGCTATGTTGTCTAGTCATCGGGTTATGTTGTCTATGCATCGGGCTATGTTGTCTAGTCATCGGGTTATGTTGTCTATGCATCGGGCTATGTTGTCTAGTCATCGGGTTATGTTGTCTATGCATCGGGCTATGTTGTCTAGTCATCGGGTTATGTTGTCTATTTATTCAACGAGCTTTTTGTCAACGGACTTAAAAAATATGAGCCGGTCAGTGGTTTCCCATGTACAAAACTAGTTCCCAAGCCCGCGCGACTGACCGACGTTTTACGTATACAGTATGGCATAATTTTCTTTTTCAGTACTGAGTTTTTAATTGTACTCTACTGTTAATATATTTGATATGAGTAATTTGGATGGAGATAGAGAGAGTAGTAGCTGTTTGAGTAATGCAACAGCAATCATCCGATCTGTAGTTGATGAGCTTGATCGTCTTGGCAGCGTGCAGTCATCATCAACAGGTGCACGTGCTCCCATCACAAACCCTTCATCACGTCCTTGTCCTCAACAACCTTCTTGTAGTAATAATTATGGACTTAATAATTTACACAGTACAGATGAAAGGTGAGCAGGACTTTAATACATCTTAAATGATAGACCCTTTGCCAAAATTGCCGCCGTTCATCATAAGAGATCGGTTATAATTTATTGGGGAAATTGAAATTTTGAAAATGGAAAATTTGAATAAGTTATCTAGCTTTCACTACCCCAAGGCCTATTTCTGTAATTTAAACAATTTCTATCCGACTTTTAATGGGAACTACTGGACTTTTGTAGAGCTGCAAAGTAAAATTTACTTCTAAGTATTTCATGGTTAATTTTGGCTTGTGTTAAAAAATAAAGATTTTTATATGCTAATTTTGTCAAGGGGTAGTTAAGGTTTTTAAAAAAATTAAAAATGCCTGGGTAAAATTGTAATGATTTTGTTTTTCATCTAGAAATCATTTTAATTTTCAGTGTCAACAGATATAACTTACAGACTAGAGCCCATGAAAACTTCAGGTAAGGAATGCTTTGCTTGAAATTTCTTTTGTAATGATGTTAAGTCCCACTTGTTTTACTAATTTCCAAATGGATTAAAATAAATCTGG